ACGATAATTTTGGGTAACCCAGATTATGACGAAAATGGAAGACAAGACAGAACAACCTCTGTTTAGCAACCTGACACTTCAATCTGACAAAGAAAGCGCGCATAAGCATGGCGTGTCCATGCATGAAAGAGAGAAGAGCCACCATTGTCATTATGATTGAAGATTTTGAAGTTCAACACGACATGCTCGTAAAAGGAAGTAGAAAGTTGAGGAATAGGAGGTACTCATATGGAAAGAAACTTTTCGAAGAAACATCTACTGAGTGCTACACGAGGCAACTGAGGCGAGGCCATGCGAAACTGGGGCAACGAAAAAGTTGTTTTCTCTCTCTCGATCAAGAACAGGAGATTGTTCGAAACTTAATTAGCAAAGGCATGGTTCTTCTGTCCTACACAGCCAAATGTCGTTGCGGTATAGTTGAATCGCGGTCATTGTTTTATATGATGCTCGAAGATTCAGGGAACCATACCAGAGCATGATGGAATGATTTAATGGGGATACAGTCAAAACAGGCAGAAGTCGCTCGTGTACCAAGAAAACTTGTCATGGCTGTACGGCCTTGTGTGAAAGCCTTCATGAAGGTTCTATCATAACGAGAACTTCCTTTTTTTGTCAAAATACTCAGATACAACTAAATCGGTTAAATATTAAAGATTTGATTGAAGAACATGAAAAAAAGAAAGTAAGAGGGCAATATTCTTGACTCGGTGCTTAGAAATCGGAGTAGTTAAGGTAGTGAGCGAGTCCAAAGTAAATAAAGGCCTAGTAGGTATGAATGGGGAAAATTTGACGTTTCCAGGATGAGTTGCTACGTTGTTTCCAACAAATAGGTTCTCCTATAACAAAATTCTCTTATAAAGCGCATTGTTTCAATCAATGCGTTGGAGGATGCGCCATGTAGTCAACTTCCTTCCCAGATCCCAACAACCCTTGCGAACGTGTTCTTTGTTTAGAGTGCTCTTTAAAATCCATACTGTATAGAATCTAGAAGCATCTCTGAACGAGACTGACGCTAATAAACGGATTTCGGAGGGGTGAAAGATCTGGCTGCATTCGAGGAAAGTATTTTACGAATCGTGAAAGTGGAATGGTGCCATATTCCGATAAACTACATTCACGTGGAATTTAGCAAATATTTATGATTTCGTTGGCTGTACCTGTGGTAAAAACATTCTAAGATCCTCCTCCATGTTGCAAGTTCACTGAAACTATAGCGAGAAAACAGACAAGCACCAAAGGTGTCACAACACATAGATGTAATGTATTCATTAAACTTGCTCTGTTTGATGATGCTCTTTCAATGAGCAGCTATTAATATAAGATATGATTATCTATATTATCTGTCATTGAAAAGCTATTATTATTTAACGTGATTATCAGATAGAGGAATAAAGGAGATGTGTGAAAAGTGGAAATGCTGCCGGAGCTTAGAAGCATGGGAATGACAAGATTTATTTCGGAAACATGGGAAAGACAAGGATTAATGTTGACAGAAGACAGGAAAATGAGTGTTTGGAGTATCTTAATGATAAATTGGGGCCTTCTAAATACGCAAGCCTTCAACGTACATGACAAAAGGTTCTTTGATCAGAGTGATACGCGAGCGGAGGAATGTCATGAATGTGTTTCACATGATGATGAATGGCCATTACACATATGTACGTTATGCGGCCAAAATAGGATGGAATTAGGAAAGGGGAAAATGAATTTGCTCGAAATTCACATGTTCTTCCTTTTTGATACATAGGTTTCATGAAAGGTTTCTAAGCAATAGCCAGGCAGCCTAGGCGGCAACAAAAAACCCGCAGTGTTACTTATTACATCAACCTTAGTTATATGAAAGGAGGTTTTGCTAATGTTAATTGAGAGATCTTTTAAGATAGTTGTTTTTTGTATTTAGTATTGTAAAAATTCATTTCAGCAACAGTAAGAAAATAGAAATACTAAAAAGTGCTGTGGTGATGAATCTTGCAGCAAAAGGTGAAGTACATAGAAAAACCTAAAATTAGAATTCGAGTGTGAAAAAGTGAGTAAGATACGAAGAACAGCTGGCACGTGGTCCCCCTTCCCCTCCCACTGTCCGGTTGAACCTTCAGTAGTTCATCCTGGCAAGATTCGTGAGGATACCAGTGAAACATACAAGTTTTAAGGTTTGGGTTAAGTTTTTTTTTCTTAAGTTTCAAACATAATCTGCAGCCTCAGAGGTTATCGAGTAAACAAGATCTGAAGCTGTGGCTTAGTTTTTGAATTTGCTGACTTGGATGACATAGAGCAGGGTACATTTTGATTTTCTTAGAATCATTTTGGATTTTTTTTACAAGAATCAAATCCGCTGGTGAATAATGGTAGAAATAAGCAGATAAATGCTCGAGATCCCATCAAGTAAACAAAAAAAACATCAATATAAAATAGTATATAAGAGGAAGCGTCGATCCACCGTAAACAGTGGCAAGCTAATCGGATGTGTCAGCGATTCCGATTACAAGTAAACGATTGAGCATATCTTCAATGTACTGCATTGAATTTGATAAATAAAAGCAACTGGATGAATGAAGTGGACCACTATAGCGACCCCGCATGGGTGTTCCGGATATACGATTAGCGGAGAAGGTCCACGAAAGGACACATGGAACAAAAGTGAGCGATATGATCTCAGGAAGGTTCCGGACAATGTACAAGCCTTGCGACCCGTAGAACAGAGACATAGCAAGCGAGAGACCAAAAACTCAGTTCTTCGATGTCGACGCCTTTTTGTAGGAATATTAGAACGACAGCTGCTGTATAAACAATGCCTGGCTTAACATTTCTCGAACGAAAAAAATTCGCATGGAACTCGTGCCTGTTCAAATATAGCCCTGGAATATCCGGTCTCTGGAAACCTATAATGGTGTGGTGCTGAATTTTGAGTGAGGTTAGCGATCAACATGTCATCAGACGAGAAAAAGTGTTAGAGTTCCAGGGAAGAGCATATATTTTCATAATAAAGACAGGGAATGGGAACTGAATGAAAAGCGATGTTCAACAAAGATATTTCTAGTCGATGCAGTGCTTTTGCATTGATTCTCTTCGTATAGAGTGCAGCTATTTCCTACAACCCATAACCAACGGCAATCTCGTTTCTTTTTTGTCAGAAGTACCACTTTAGTCATGATTAATTAGGACTTCAAAAGAAATGTTTATGCATTCCGTCAAGAAATCGAAGGTAAGGCGGACACGTCGCGTAATCACCTGGGCTGGGCCCTACCCCGATGGTCAGAATTTGTCACAAGAGCTTCATACGGAAGGCACGAAATGATTGGTGCTCCTTGAGCGAAGGAGGCCCGCTGGGCTACACAGGCTCGCGACAAAGACGAATAGAGACATCCTTGGCGCCCGTTCGAGCAAATCGATGATCAACGGGACGGCAGGTAAACAGGGAACTTATGCTTTACTTCACTTATTTCGCAGATGTTCACAAGATTGTGGAACATGCCCCCTACATTGGTAACATTTTTAACCGTTGTGCCATCGTTTCAAAAAAAGTTTGATAATTTATACACATGCACATTTTATTGACTGATCATTACTCTTTGAGCATATACAATCCAGTACGTACTAGAGAAGGATTCAGCGTGAAAAATAGTGCAAACAAAAAGAAATAACAAAATAACGATCAATTTCAAACCCACAAGAAAACAGTGATAACAATAACCTCTAGGTATGACGAAATTTCGAGATATTCTCAGCTACAGACTAGAATTTCATTTGTATCATTTCATATTTTCTTTCTGAATATTTTTCGTTTCGACAACTCGTATTCCTTCATAGCACATTAGAATGCTGTCTAAAGTGTGTAGAAGCAGAATATCAATGATATCAGCCTAATATTATACATACTAGTATCAGCCACATTTTTCTATACAGGTGGTTAGATCGGGTGTGGTGCAGTAGGAACGAAATTGTCGCGTCGCGGCGAGAGAGACGTCGTGCGCGAAGGAATGCATAATAGCAAAATGCAGCAGCAATAAATAAGAAATACAGGAACAAAAGAATACCAGTAGAATCATGCCAAAAGTAATAATCGTATAGCGATTGAGCTGTATGAAGAACGCTAGAACTGTCATAACGAGGCAAATGATCCACGACAGCCGCGTGCGGCGGATCGACTACACAAAACCGTTCCTACTGTCCGTCTCCCGGTTAGATCTCCTCCGTTGATATATCCGTCGCAGTTCGGCACGCAGAGCAGCTGAACGTGTGGCCTATCAGGAGAATATTGTTTGGCTTGGTACGGACTTTTTTTTCAAGAAGTTGGGGCGGAGCGAAGAGTTGAGAGGTTACCGTGAACTAAATCACAGCAGAAAGAAATCTTAGGCCGACCCAACTGTTAACTCATCATATATGTAAAGTGTTCTCCATGTTAAATCGCTATAGCTATTTCTCGGCATGCTCTTAGCAGCAAGAAAAGTGTGGTGAAGTCTGTGTATGCAGCGATTCCCATTGATTTTCATTGACCAGTTCTTACAAAACCGAACAAACATTCAAAAAATACTTACTCGATGTACTTTTACTAGTAGGGTTACTTCTAGTGACAAAATGAAACAGAATTTTCTTTACACTAATCAGTCGGTTCGGTGTGGCCAGACATTTCAACTGAAATTTTGACAATGAGAAGCGAGTCTTTACTTTCCGAACGAGTGTTAGTAATAGTAAGGGTGCGCCACGTCACGAAATGCTTTACAATTCCGAGTTAAGGTTGGGTGCAGGGCTCATCCGAGAAACGTGCGTGTTTGACGCAAAAAAACTCAGAAACTTTGTGCACAAGTATTTAGCTCATCACAATATATCTGCTTGGTATCAGAACAACTTTATGCTGACATATGCATTATATCTTTACAACTTTACAACAGCGATTTTTGAAATGGTTTCAGTTGAACAGATTCAGGGCGTCCCAGTGTTTCCAAATAACCCGCTTAGAATAAATTATTTCAAATTACATGCAGAACAAGTCTATGTTACTACTAGTTATACAATGATTCCAGGTATTCCTCAGCCAAAAACGATATGCCTTCGTATTTGGCCTCTCCAGGTATTCTTGTTTCATCCAGAATTATTCGACCATGGATTGTGAATACCATTATAAACGAAGCGAATGGGAGTCGTGCTAGTTCCTGAGATTTTATCGCAACTATCACGGTGTCGTTAGTACCTGAAAACATACATAGACCAGTTTCTCATACTGCTTAGTCCGATCCTCACACTTATCCCTAATTTTTCGAATCATTTGCGATGTTCAGTACTATTATATCTAGGAGAATCTAGTTTATATTAAAGGCACAGTTGACGATAAAAATGGTTTCCGAGACTCCCCACAGGATAAATTTAAGACCCCCGCGTATACCATATCTGGCACTAATGGGTCGGAAAACGGCCTAGTTAGGGGGTTATAAAGACTCAAATGTTGGCCTGTGTGTATCCTCGGACGAGTATCACCGACATCGTAGAGGCTGCACTGATCACAAGGGAACCCATATAGGAAATTCAAACAGCATGTCATGACCCATAGCAACAGTGAAAGACCGTTCTCTACAGTTCTGGCTTGATGTAGTCTGCTCTTTGTGCAATTGCATTAACTAAAATCTCGTCCGAATACCCCTTTCATGTTATTTCTGTCATGGCAATCTCGTCCAAGATCTATTTTCCCTACTTTTGAGGAGCCACATTTTTTTCGAAATCTGCGACTTCTCTCGCTTTCCTCACTACCGATGAATTATTCCCAATCAATACTTCCGCTTCTCGATTAGAAACGGGTACCTCAAAATTATCGTGAACTGTGCCTTTAAAACGTTAGTCTAGTCTGGCTTCGAACTGGGATAGCTCCGATACATGGAATGCGGAAGCAGTTGTCATGGCTTTATTTCAACCAAGATTCAAATTGCTATACTCCAACCATAATCGGCAAACAACCTCTTGAGTACTCTAAGCATTGAGGAACTTGGAATGAATCAACGAAAGATCCTACTCGACTGTATAAAACGAGGATTAATACCAGTAATGATTTTGGCATAATCGATGAGATGCCTCAATGCCGCCCACGTCCGCGGCAGCCTAGGCTAGTCATGATCGTATTCTATAATTCGAACCTGATTCATACTTGGCTTACAGAATGGATCAAGGGAACCGGAGCATTTTTCTTCCAGATTATCATTTTAGGGGGCGGGGCTGATGCTCTCGTGGGGATCTCAGAAAAATGGAATATGCATAAGCTCGGATCAAAACATGTTCATGTTAGCAGAGCTCTGGAAGTTGCAGGATTTCTATTTTGTCCATTTTATAAACAGCACCTATTACCTACCTGGAACAAATTGGAAGACACTAAATCCTTTCGTTAGGACTTCGTGACCAATCATGACCGCGTTGAAGTTTGTGAAGTTCTCATTGGCTGACAGAAGTACATTTGCGCCTAAAACGCTCTTTTTATGTGAACATTTTCTTGAAAACCAATAATACTTACGATCGGAGAATAAATGTTTAGGCAATAACGGGAACCATCTAGTTAGCAGAAAGCTACTTATAAGGGGGAGACGGGCAGTAGGATCGGTTTTCTGTAATTGATTCGCCCACGCGGTTGTCGCGACCATTCGTTTGCCGTTATTACAGCTCTAGCGTTCTTCATACATCGATATGCGATCCTTATTCTAGTCATGATTCTACTGTTACTTCCTTTGCTCCTGTATTTTTACCTGCTGCTGCTTTCTGTTATATTCCTTCGCGCGCAACGTCCCTCTCGCCGCGACGCGACAATTTCGTTCCTACTGCACCACACCTCTTATCAAGAGGTGAAGTAAGTAGATGTGCTAGGAGGAAGTGCCTAAAAACGAATTCAGTATCACCAATCCAACGCCTAGAAGTGAATAACTTTTAAAGATAGGGCTTCTTCAGTCATAGGTCTCCTACTTTTGATCCATTCTCAGTATGTAACCTGTCCTTGCAAATTTTCCTTTCCTACTTTGGATTCATTCCTATTGAGTAACCTGTCAAACAGCTTATCTGGAAAACGACGTCACCGAAACAAGCTCTTCGATAGACATCCCCATAAAATGATAAAGAACAACTTATATGAGCAAGTTTGAAAAGTGATTTATTAGCTGTTTGCTGCGATTTTTGTTTTTTTTTTGGCACTGGTGGATTACTTCGCAGTAGCACTCGTTCCCAAACCCATTAATTATTATGCTATTATTATTTTAGTATTTTATTTTATATTTTCTACGAATGGAAATCTGGGCGGAAAAAGGCTCTACATACAAATCCCTCCCATTTCTTGATCAACGTACCATTTTCTTCCACTGTGTTGACATTGTACGCGAGCTTAGACATGTGTCTGGGCAGGAAGAACCATCTCTGTAAGGTTCTGAAGTTTGAAGAGCATAAGTTAAATAGATGTTTCTGCTGTGTGAGACTAACCAACACTGGAACATAATAAATTTAAGATACCACCTCGACTGTTAAGGAGATAATACGAAAAACCATAAGGCCATTTGGGAATTCACAGTCCCGACTCGTTCTAGCCACGACAAAGAAGTAGCTGAAGTCTTTAGGAATCATCTGTCATGTAAACCATGATGTCATGATTCTATGATTCTGTTTTATATACCGCTCTTATGCCCCT